ATAATTCAGTACCGTGTTGTCTGAATATGGTAATACAGGCAATTACATATCCGTGGCCTGGTAGCCATTGCATTTTGCCCCACACCTTGGTGGCAGTGGTATTCTCCGTGCACTCACGTACTATTTTCCTCCCATCTCCCAACACAAAAAGGTCTATATTGTGATAGGGCCAGTATGACAACGACGACTGCCCAACTGCTATATGTTCCGACAAGTTTGCCTATCAGTGGTATAGGCCCATCTAAAAAGTGATTGGTCAAAATTGACTGCCAGCGTGGTGCCGCGGGAGAGGTTACACTGAGTGCTAGTTCTGATTGGATCGATGTGTTTGTTGTAAACGTCAATGAAAATCGATTATTTAATGCGTGCCAAGTTTTCACGCGCACTCGGTTCATTATATACAGTAACATCTTATGAAATACCATCCGAAATTCTGAAACGTTTTTTGATTCGAGCATATTAATTAATGATCTTTGAAGTTTTCAGTACCATTCTACGTTATCTTAATATATATATTTAAGTCAGAACAGGAGGTTGGCCTTCGAACAAGCAGTGTTTTGACCAACTGCAAAAGGTAGCTTCTGTAATAAATTGCTACCTATTTAGTATGCAGTTTCGCGTGAATTGCCAGTGCTCTCATGAATTAAAATATATTTTACAGAATAAATGCACAGACATATTCTATCTTATATTTGTTTGGTAGCAACCTACACCTTTTTAAAATTGTACACATGAAGATAGGATACCTTTCAGTTTAAAAGGAAATTTTTTGACGACCATGCAATTTCAATTTATAAAGCAACTTTTTCCGTCCATTTACTAAAACTGATCGTTAATTTTTTCACTGGTCCACATTCATATGAAAAGTATCGCAAGGCATAATGTACACAGCATCTATTTTGGAAACATTGAAATCAAGTGTAACATGTGGTAGGGTTCAAAATAAGTGCGCAATTTGGAAACATTTTTAAACCGTATGATACCCTTTCGTCAATTTTAATATTTTGATAATCCGATATACCATACGAGAACAACAACAAACATTGTTTTTGCACTTTTTCCAAATAATATTTCAAGTTATACATTCATGGAAAATTAGGGAATAAATTGCATACTACTACTACGACTGCTCATTCAACAGTCGGCACCCCGCTGTGACTGGAATATGCTGGACGTTAGATGACCAGTAATCCCTACTACAACTATAGCTTAACAATATGTTCGAGTGAAAAGCACATTCCAGAATGTCGACTTAAATGTCATGAGATAGAGAATTTAGTGACATAAGACAGTAACCTGATCAGTGTTCAACAGATGTCGGTAACTGAACCAATTTGAGCTAAAATTCAAGTAATTGCTCATGGCCCGTCTTCGAAATGCTGCCTTAATATATTTTATTCAATAAAGTGCCCTTTGTCTTAAGTGCTAAATGTGACACAAACAGCAACAAATAAGTTCACATTTGAATTACCAAAACAAATCAATATCACAGTTACTGAGAAGAAGACTATTCCATCGCTAGGACAATACTTTCATTCGCCTGACGTTTCGACATCCGTTGCGGATTCATCCGCATATCTGAAGTTCCAAAACCAAATAACTACACTACACTAAACTATATAACCATGTACAGCTGTACAGTTTTCACTGCCCTGCATATGTATTGGCCTGATGATGGTTTGCTGAACACGTATGTTTGCAAACTTGACTTCTCAAATTAAGTATGGGAATATTTGCGGAACTTAAAACTCAATCAATATCACAGTTATTTTAAGTAGAACAGTATCCTCTGCCGAGAAGAAGAAGACTCGATTGCTGGGACAATATGTTTATTTGCCTGACGTTTCGACATCCGTCGCGGATTCATCATCAGAGACATGAAGGAAACAGTAGCATGTTTCCTTCATGTCTCTGATGATGAATCCGCGACGGATATCGAAAAGTCCGGCGAATAAACATATTGTCCCAGCGATCGAGATTTCTTCTTCTCAATTGCTTTCTGGGACACGCATGTTCGCTTGTATCAGTATCCTCTGCCCCCAGCCCAAATGTTCTGCTATCCAGATTCAGATCAGCGTTGGTTGTAAACAAACCTGACGGTTAAACGGACTAGTGCACAATCTTACTCACTGCGAGCTTCCACAGCTTGGCTTCCACGTGTTCTGTTTAAATTAATGCACCAAGGAATTATAATTAACACTCTTCCTTCCTCCTTCTCTCCCCGCCCCACCCCAGAATTATTTACATATTTAACTCGCTTACACCTCCACCAGATGGCACTCCGTAGCTAGCGATGCTACGCCGAGCACGAAATGATAGAGCGCAACTGACAGCGGAATGTCAACCCAGTTGGAAACCGGATCACAAAAATTGCAGTAGCTGAAAGATGGACGTGCAAATTTGAAGGGATGGTAAAACACACATCTGAGGTTGTCTATTCTGTTCACTGACTTTACTTGAGGCGCAAAATGCTGTTTACTATCATAGGTTGTGTTTGCTTACCGGAATGTGTTTCTTTTTCTGCTGATGTTTCGGACAGCTGGAGGGAGGGGGTGGGGGGCTGTTCCTTGTCAAAGCGAGAACTGCCTTTATCGATCAGCAGTTCAAATTTGTGGCTGTGTGTGTTGGCCATAAACAGATATATTTTTCTGCGCTCACTGCTTAGCCCCGGGCGTGGATTTTGGCGTCACTTGACGGCAATTATTGTGGTGTTCCGTCCCCATGGTAGAGGATGCTGGTAATCCTGCTCCCACTTCCGGTGTTTTCGTCACGGGGCCGTCTTGTTTTGCAAATCATAGTTTCGGTTTGACCAGGTCCTGCCCGCTACTAACGTAATGACCTATGTATTTTTAGGCCGCGCGGAGGTTTATATTTTTTGACAGAGTAAGCGTCTGAAAACCACGTCTTAGGCGTCAGTCTTTCCGCTTTCGAGGTTCAGTGGCCTACAATGTTCGCGCCTTGAATGTCGAAGTCATGACCAGTCTCTCCGAAATGGGTTGCAAGCTGCGAAGTTGGGTAAAGCCTCCGGGACGCCGCTTTGTGTTCTACTAGGTGGGTCTGCATCTTGCGCCTTGCTACGCCAACGTATTTGCAGTCCCCATCGTTGCAGTGTATTTTTCGGACAAATTCAGACTATTCAGTATGACTTTGGATCCTTCGTCGGCGTATTGTCGCCTGCGGTCGATGGGCTATGCCTACTCCAGCGCGTTGTAACAGTAGAGATACTGCTCCGGAGACTACTTTTATGCAGGGAATGGACCTCCACACTTTGGGTTGCTAATTTGCTGCCCGTTGTCTATTAACTATGCGCTTTCTTTGATTAATAAAAGAATGCGGGTAGCCATTAGCACCAAATAGGTCACGTAGGTATTTTTGTTCCACTCTTTTGTCAGCTTCTGTAATGCAATGCGTTTCAACTCTTTAGAAAAGAGTACGAACGCAGCTACGTTTGTGACACAGAGGGTGATTGCTGTTGAAGTGGAGGATTTGTTTCTTACTGCTGATATTTCTGAATACTGACGTTTGTAGTAGTCCAGTGGAACAACGGCGCACCACGACATCGATGAAGGGAAGTTGGTTATTTTTTTCCGCTTCCATCGCGAATTTGATATTCGGGTCAACCGAATTTATTAACTCTTTGAGGTGCTCAATGTCGGATGATTTGACAATGACGAAAGTGTCATTAACATAACGAGCCCAACACTTCGATTAATACTTCCTGAAGACCAAGTGTTCAATCCGTTGAAGGACGACTTCAGCAATCAGGTCTGATAGGGGGGGGGCGATTGGGGTGCCTTTAATTTGTTCATACATTTGTCCTCCAAATATGAAGTAGGTTTTAAAGCAGTACCGCATAAGTTTGAGTAGCTGTTCAGTATTCAGGGGCTTGTCCCTCTCGCCGTAGTGTTCAGTTAAAAATTGTATCACAGCATCAATTGCCAGTTGCTGTGAGATGGAGGATACCATGGATTCGTCTGGCTCTAACTTCTTATGTTTTATGCGTTCACGGAAGTGTCTGGCAGAGGCTACGCTTCTTGTCGGGCCGACAGTCAGGAACTTAAGATAAGCAAACATCCATTTTGCTAAACCGTATGTAGGGGTGCAACAAAGGAAGATGATTGGCCTAAGTGGTATATTGTCTTTGTACACTTTCGACAGACCTTAAACTCGTGCTGGGGCTGTATCTGTTGGTTTCATTGAAAAGCAATCGTTGGGCGTGATTGCACTGTTTGCTTTGAGTTTTGCCTCAGTTTTACTTATTTGAGGAAAGGTTATGGACGAGATCGCGCAGAGAGTTGTCCGTGTCGAGTGGTCGAAGATTGGTAAATTTGTCTGCTGTTTACTATCAGCGAATTCACTTCAGACCAATATATATTAGGGGAAAAGGTTGGACACCTTAGGCTTAATTTAATGCCACTTGATATTCTTGGAATTTACTATGCTATTAATCGCTGCGGCCCAATGCTTCTTGCTCTTGCGTTTTGTGCGTTTAAGGAACATTTAGATGAACCAGAAATATGTTTAGATATATCCCACAAATAGTAGCAAATACGCGTGCCCCAGGTCCTTGTTGTAAAGAAGAATAAGGCGCAATCACTGGAATGACAATTGCTTCGTAGATCAAGTAAGAGAAAATGAAATGTTTGCGGGAAAGCAAGGGCGGATTTAGTTTCAACAATTCTGGGTTGCCAAGCTGATCCTTATTTGCCCTTACTTCAAGGTCTAAACTTATAAGTGTGTAATTCGTTTACCCACACCAAAAACACGACCGTAAAACAATATATATATATATATATATATATATATATATATGAAGACCCATGATGAACCCCCACTGCTCTCCGTCACAACTTAGGCCAAAGCTTTAAAAATGTTATACCTACAGGTCGGTTTGAAAGAATAGGGAAATTTTAAACGGAACGGGCAGAAGCTTCTCAGTTTTCGCAAAATCGAAGCATATTTTTTGCACTATTCTTACTCTTTTTAAATCTTTGAACGGGGCCTACAATCACATTCTGTCATGTTTA